CAGAGCCCAGGTCCCTTACCCAAGATGAGCAAGACCGGGGCGGGGGGCGGGATGGGAGTGTGTACCGGTGGTCGGAGGTGTGGGAAGGGGCCCTCAGTGCTGGGCCCTGAGCCAGCAGGAAGCAGAGGAGAGTGTCCATAAAGGACCAGAGGATTTTGACAAGAGAGGCAAAAAGTGTGGCGAACCAAGTCTGAATTCCTGGACTCCACGTCTGCAGGCAGGGCCAGTCCGATCGCAGTCGTTGTCCACGAGGGGCTTCTCTGCAGTAGGATGAGAGAGGACACAGGGCTGGGTGCCAAGCAGATATACAGGGGGGCTGGGGAACTCCAAGGCAGAGCTCAAAGGGCTCATCGCTTGTGTAAAACCAGCTGGAAACCACAACACTCAACATGCAAATCTCGTTGGCCGAGGCTCTCCAAGGGTTCATAAGCCATCCACTCTAGAAAGTCAAAAGTACCTGCAGCCTTAATGTCTTCTTGGCAACAAGATGAGTGTCTACATTTTCCAGAACGGGACCAGAATCTTGGGTCATGTTTATGGCCCTCATATTTGCACATGGTCGGCCAAAGGAGTTGGCTTCTCCCAGTACCTCTTTTTGAGAGATGAGTGCAGACAGACACAGCTTCAAAGCAGCAAGGAAGCAGTGAGAGTTCTCAAGTGACCCTCTCCATCTCCATCCTTCCAGGCCAGTGGGACCAGCCTTGCCCCTCGGGATCAGGACAGATGTCCTGTTGTGGCACTAGGCCCGAAGACCAGCAATTGATCAGGAGTGTAGACTCCAGAATTTCCTCTTCCCCTTGTGGGATTTCAGCTTAAGTCAAGGACAAATGATGGATGAAATGATCCTAATGGGGGAATCAAGCTGAAATCAAAAGAATCACCTGCCTTGGACTCCACTGTGACTGATGAGCTGGAAAAAGTACTGAGCCACAGACTTCAGGATGGATGAGAATACACAGATGTTCGGGATCCAAGTAGGGAGATCCCTATTCTTCAAACCTTGCCAAGAGCCACATTGGGCCATGGCATCCTTGACACACTGGGTGATTTACTGTATGTTAATGGTGGGAGGCTGACCTCTCAAATAGGCTGATTAATTATGTCAAATAAAAAGCAAAAATGATGCTTCTTGAAACGTTAGACCTAAGGAACATTGATAAGATTGCTTATCAATCGCTTTCTGGGTGACTTATAGATGTGCACTTTGTCTCTCTCTCTCTCCCACTCTCTCTCCTCCTATCTCTTTCTCTCTCTCTCTCCCCCACAAGCAGTTTAGAATTTATTCAAAGAATCTAACTTTGCCAGAGGCCACATAGGAAGCTGCTTCAGTGATGAGCTTGTAGATGAGGAACCTTGAATGCAGAGATCCTAATATGTATGTTGTTCATTGTATCTGAGGGCAAAGGATGTCTCAACCACCGCTTTGTGACCGTGTTATGTTACAGCAAACATCACAGCAACCATCCCTTATGATCCTACTGTGTGTGATCTTCTGATAATCATCTTTTATTTAAAGCAGTAGCAAATACTGCTTTAAGATAGTCATTTACTTGCGCTCTCCAATGTCCAGTTTACTCACTTAGGAGCATACATCCTTTGTACGGTCACACCAAAGAAAACGTAAGCATATGTATATATCATTTAAAATTGTATTTATACATTGCTCATGAATATTGAGAATTCTAGTAGGCAATACCGTGTTTATTTTTAATCAAAATTGGTACAGCCTTATTGTTTCTGAAAACCACAAAATCAATGTATTCACATAACCTGAAAGATCTAAGCTACAATATACAGAACAGTAGGAAGGGAACAAGTCATCTTTCCTCTTTCTTCCACAACAACACGCCTCTGTAATTGTCTTCAGGAGATAACCGCTGAGCACAGTTTGTCGTATTTCCTTCAACCATTAGCCTGTATTTACATCCGTATATATTCAATTAAAATGGATTCACAACATCATACAATATATGCCACTCAGCCTGTATCTTTACAATCACCTTCCATGTGACTATAGAGAAACCCACTCCATCTTCTTATTGGCTGCCTTGTGCTCCATTGCAAAGCTCTGTCTATGATAATTAGTTTATGATGAAGATTTCAGTTATTTTTCTATTTTTTTACCTTTTAAGCGACACTTTAATGAGCAGTCTTGTATATACATTTGAGCCTACTTTTCTACTCATTTCCAACCCTAGGACAGTCTAAGGAGTTTCCTTTTTCTCCCCCCACCCTGGTGCTTCCTACCATGTGTACTGCTTCCCCTGGGGGACTTCACTCCCAGAGTCTAGTCTACAGAACGGTGCGATTAAGTGCTTGAGCCCTGAGTTCAAATCCCAGCCCTACCACTCTCCGCCATGAGCAAGTGACTTAACCTCTCCGCACTCAAGGTTCCCATCTACAAAATAAAGGATAATATTAGCTTCCAGTTACTAGATTTGGGGGGATAATTCAATGGTGATCCATGTACAATGTCTGGCCCTTTGTAAATGCTCAATAAATTTCAACTATTACAATTGCTGTTGCTTGCATCTCTGCAGAGAAAGCCACTTTCTATCCTCTTGAATATTCATGTTGACTGTGTCCTCGGGCAACTATTTTGCACACTTCATTTCCACCCTCTTCTCTCTGCCTCCAAATTGATGTCTCCCTTTCCTCATCTTCGGGTGAGATCCACTGCTGACTTTGCTATTCGAAGCAACTAGCAAAGCTCTCCAGGCCAACTCTAATGTTCAGAATTATAATCACAGTTTCTCTTGTAAACCTCACTATCACAGCAGTCAGCATCCGCCCTTTATCAGCTCCGATCTATTATTGATTTTCAATTATTTGCTGTTGGGGCTTTTTTTTCTTTTTTCTTGCAAATGTTTGCTGAGCATTTGCCAAGTTAAGATACTGGCCTGGGTCTTCCAAATATAAGACAATGAAACATCTAACAGCTTACAGTCCAGGAGCGTAGCAAGAATCTTACAGCAGAGAAGAGCAATGAGGTGTTCTAGGCCCAGTGACCTGCCTCTGTACTCAACACAATGTCACTTGCTGGGGGACGATCCACAAAAAGGCCTCTCTTGAGTTGAGTCCTGAAAAACAATTAGTTGTTCACAAGTTAATCCAGGTGAGCAAAGGTGTTTGCAAGCAGATGGAGAGTTTTGTAAAAGGTGAAGGACTGTAAAGAGAACAACGGATGCTGAGGTGAGGATGGAAGGTTAAGAGGCAGACAGAACTTCAATAAATGAAGCTGGACTCACAGCAGAATGAGGTCTTCAATGTCCTTGATGGGGTTACTATGGAAACATCAAGGCACGCCGCGATTCCCTGGCAGCTCCAAAAACTTCATGCACCTGGTTCAGTTCAATGAGACACGGTGGGTACCCCTGGGGGGTACCTGTCCTGTGACCACAGACAACCAGCCAAGTCAAGTCTGCTTTTCTTCTCTGTTGGTCTTTGGTTTTGTTTCACACGTCAGTGATAGCTTCATTCCGAAATAGATTTCAAAGTCAGACATGGGCCTTGCTTGGGTACACATTTAGTCTATCTTTGTGTGAAACAACATTGTGACAAAACGAAGCTCAAATAGGAAACGTTCTTTACTGATTACTAACTCAGAGAAGCTAAGGTTTCCTCTAATGACACCGAATGAGGTTCAGGGTCATTATCATGCTAATTTGCAAAAGTTTTTCCATGTGCTTGTCTTTCTGTGTAATTTACATTCAACCTACTTTCCAAAAACTAAGTAAATAGAAAGCAGCAGTCCAGATGTGGTAGATTGCCTGAAAAAAAAAGTGGGGGTTACCATCAGACCATAGGCATAAATAAATCATCTTTTAGGATTTTAGATTTTGCCTAAGAAGACAAACATTGTCAGAGAAGGCCCAGGGCTTCCACACCTGCTTGAAAAGGGAGTTAAGCTTCAGTAGCTGACCCGAGGCTCTGTTCCCCTTGGGTGAGACGAGTTTTTGCACAGCCAGTCAACAGAGAGCCACCAGTGTGGAGGACGTTCGGCCAGGGAACCAAGCTGGAAATCAAACGTGAGTAAAATCCAAACTTTCCTTGCTCTGTTGCCTGTGTCTCATGGTCCCTGTGTCTCTGATGTGATCCACAAGCTGACTCTTTGAACCCGGACTGACATCCTCCAGGGCAAAGTTAGAGCTAAGTCCGTAGCCCAACTGGAGAGCTGGTAGCACATTTTCTGTGACGAACAGGAGCCAGGCGTTGGGTGAGAATAACTGGTCAGAGTGATAGTTTTTCAGAAATTGCCTGGGGAGCAAAACCTATGTTCTGAACAGAGCTTTGATCGATGGTCAGGAAGGGAACCGGTTTTTGTACAGGAGGGAGGTTAAGAGGAACTGTAGTGTATATAGTTTCGGCAGTGGGACCAAGCTGGAAATCAAACGTGAGTACTTTTTTCAGCTGATTCTTTGCTGTTTCTGTCTACTTGGCTTGCTTTTTGCTCTTTTTTGCACGTTTTCATTAATTAGGTGTCAGGGATAAAGCAAATTCCATTCCCAGATCAGGTGCTAAGGAGGGAAAAATTGTTCCATGGAAGGCTAGCTGATGACTAATTTTTAAGATTTCCAGATTAAAATAACTAAATTGGGGGAGATGGCTTGCTTCCCATTCAAGGCAGACTTTTGTAGGCATGGGAGTTAAGGGTGAATCACTGTGGTTCAATTTCGGCTCAGGGACCAAACAGGAGATCAAACATAAGTACATCTTCATGCAATAATTTGTGAAGTTTTTTGTCCTATTGTATCATGTGTGCAAGTTTATGTCATTTTGGTTAAATAAGCCATGCCCGGTGACCCAAAAGTACATGGCAGAAAACCAGAAAAGAGCCAGTTTTTAAGCTGAGCAAAGAAATTGTTGAGTTTGCGAGGAGCATAAGGTGTGGAGAGAAAAAGGAAGAAATAGCCAGATTTTTCTCCGACTTAGCCTTTCTTATGTAATTGGCTTCGCGAGGAGGTTTTTGTTGAGGGGGGTGTATTAGAGCCCTCACTGTGGGTTACGTTCGGCCAGGGGACCAAGGTGGAACTCAAACGTAAGTACACTTTTCTACTCCTTTTTCTTATAGAGTTGTGAAATTTAAGGGTTTTTATGTTTGTGATATGAGTTAAGGTCGATTCTGGAGAGAATGGGACTCGTCTGAAAATCAGATGAGTGAGGGACAGAACATCCGTTTGTCTCAAGGAGGAGCAAAGAGCTAGTTAGTTGACGTGGCATCTAAACTGCCAGATTTTCTCTGTATCTGACAATCTAATGAGGTAAGCAGCAAAAAGAGGTTTCTGCTGAGAGGCAAGTAGTTAAGTTAATACTGTGGATCACCTTTGGCAAAGGGACACGTCTGGAGATTAAACGTAAGTAATTTTTTTCTACCACCTTCTGAAATTTGGGTCTAAATGCCAGCGTTGGCTTTTAGAGGCTTAAGTATGAGTTTTGTGGAGATGGATGAATGAAGCATTTCAGATTTATTATCAGCTTAAAAAGTTAAACTCAGCTCCAAAAATGGATTTGCAGACAAAAAGATTAATGTCATCCAAATTGAATGATTCAAAGGGAAAAATAATTAGTGTAAATGAAAAAGGAATCCTTGCAGCTCTAAAGATCAAAAGTGAATTAATTTTTACTGAGCTTGGCCAAATAGTTCATTGAGTTTTGCTTGTAAGTATAGTACAGAAAAGAAGACAAATGTATTTCTTGGTCTGTTTTCTCTCTTCTGTTATTATTTTATAAGATAACAATAAAAATCAGTAGGATGCACTAAAAAATAACAGTTAGAAGTTGGGAAAGTATAGCTTTTGTGTAAAAGATGCCGCTTAATTGAAAATCAGCAGCAATGTCATTTTTAGTCTAAAATGTGATCAATTGTCACTATTCAGAAATTCTACACAGATTCTTGACAGATAGCTCCTTTTTTAAAAATCTAATTTCTATTTGAGTCTAAACTAGGAATGATCTTGACAGAGATCTCTTTTTTTAATCCAATTTCTATTATTAGACTGAGCTTGAAATGATCTTATTGTAACAGAGAAAAGATGGTTGCCCCCCAAAATCTCAGTTTTGAAGAAATTCGTTTAAATGAAAGAAAATAAAATAATTGAATTTTTAAATGGCCACAGGCTTGTAGAAAAATAGGAAATATTTGAATGAGCATGTTCTTTTACTTGCTGGTTGTTACTTGGCGGTGTTTTTATACCGCCAGAGGCCGCGGCACGGCTAGCCGGGTATGTAGACCTCACCGCGGTCTTTTTCGTGATCGAACGACCTTGGCCGCCAGGCCCCAGGGCTCCGGGGGGTCGCGCCCTTGGCCGCTAAAGGCCGCGGCAGCCCCGCGATCGCCCGTTCAACTGCACTGTGGCCGCCTTCCTGCCACAGTGATTCAGATAATGTCGCTAACAGAAGGGAAATAGAAATGGACAGGAGCTACCATGGGGAAAACAGAAAAGCCTGATTTTTATAAGAGATTGCATAAATAAAATTCATATTATCATATCCTCTTAATAAAAATTTCCATTAGGGGACTGTAAGAACTTAAAGCTATTTTTTTTCAGTGATATGTAATAATTTTGATATCCTCTCATCAAATGTTATTTAAGTACTAAAAGCTCAATCCAAAAGGCATGTATGTGTATAGAAAGAAATATATATAGAAATATATGTATATATAAACTCTTTCAGGGCAAAATCCTCATCAGCAAAAATCTAACTGAAGGCCAGCAGCCTGGTTACTCAGGTTGTGGTCAATTAAGTTTTGCTAAGTTCAGAGTAAATACCATTAAGGTATAGTAGCTGATAGGAAAAAAAAAGATAAATTTGTAACATGTTTTTAATTTTCAGAAATGTAATGGCTTCAGTAGAATTATATTTCAGGTGTACAAAATATCTAAACATATTTAAATGCCATTAATAAAACCTAATGTAAATATATTTTGCAACCCTTCATCCTGTGATAGGAAACTTTTAATCTGGGTATTTTAACCGCACACCCTCTGAAATAGTTGAGTGATTTGTTATTGCCACTGGTGTTTATTCCAGCTAATTTCAAACGTGATGCTTAAAAAAGATTATTTGGGGTTTGCAACAGCCTAACAGAACTGTTTTAGGGCCATTTTAAAACTCTTTTCAAACTATTTAAACTATTTCAGTATTTTTAACTATTCTAAAACAGTTAGGGCCTTTTAAAACTCTTTAATGAATGTTAAACCATATTAAAAACTAATGTCCAGCAAGAATTTCTATATGCAGTATGTTCATTGTTTAATATTTTAATGCAGGATAGAAAATTTAAAGCTATCAAGGAATGACCCAAATAGAAGTTATCTTGCTTGATTATTTCCCCTCGTTTTTCTCTAGAATTCACATTATTTTGCTGCCAAGGCTATTTTATAACACTCTTTGAAAAAAAAAATAGTAATGAAGGGTAAAAGAGAAGAAAATATGGAAACATTAAAAATTCAGTAGCTTATGTTGAACTGCTTGGTTAACATGGAGGTTTATGGCTCTATAAATGTGTATAGCTTTATAAAAAACCTGCTCGCTGTCTGCTGACTTCTCCCAGCAAAAGAGACTTGTTACTTAACCCTTGCTCTCCCAACTGAGGCTCTGAAGTCCCACAAAGGGGATTTCCAGAAGGCCATCTGGCAGCTGCTCAAAGTCACAAGTGACACTAGCCAGTTCCTCTCAGGCAGGTGGCCTAATTACAGTTGACCCCTCCTGGTCTGGCTGAATATTTCCCCATTCGGTGACAGTCATCATGCCAGGGCCCAGGTCTCCCTTTGTGAGCCGTGGGAGAATTGCTGGCCTGGTCACAGAGGGCGAAGGCGCGGACCCCGACCCCGGCACAGACTCAGGGCTTGGGGCTCATTCTGCAGGCTGAGTCCTGCCCCGACACAGCCAAAGGACGGCCAGGAAGGGAAAGGCAGCCTGCCGTCACTGCACAGTCCTAGGAGAGGCGCGGAGGAAATGATCTGTGCAGGACCTGCTCTTGCTTCTCAACTCTGAGGGCGCCCGATGAAATGCTCTTTGTTTCTTTGCCTGAAGCACTGTGTTTATTGCAGAGGCAGGGACCATAGATGAAGGAAAGAAAGGTGAGCTCAGAAAAGCACACAAAGAGGCCTCAGAATGGCTGCAAAGAGTTCCAATAAAACAATCTAGAACTTTCCTAAGGGGCAGGGGAGAGGGAAGAACTCAAAATCCTGGCGATTAGAAATACGCTTCCTAGTTGCTCCCTCAATCCTACAGAACAAGCGAGCTGCTCTCTGTGCGTCCGCCCGGCGCGGGCTCCGGGATGGGCCACGAACCCCGCACCCCAGGGGCGAACCTCCCTGTCACTTAATCACCATTCTCCCTGCTTCCTTCCTCAGGGGCTGATGCCAAGCCATCCACCTCCATCTTCCCACCGGCTAAAGAACAGTTAGAGACCGAAAGTGCCACCATCGTGTGCATGGTGAATAACTTCTACCCCAAAGACATCAGCGTCAAGTGGAAAGTGGACGGGGTGAGCCAGAGCAGCGGCGTCCAGACGAGCATCTCAGACCAGGACAGCAAGGACAGCACCTACAGCCTCAGCAGCTACCTGACGCTGTCCAGCTCGGAGTACCACCAGCACAACCTCTACGCCTGCGAGGTCACCCACAAGACCCTGTCCTCCGCCGAGGTCAGGAGCTTCGACCGGAGACACTGCTAAGCGAGAGCCCCGCGGGCTCCGGCACCGGGCTCCTGCCCCAGCCCCCGCCCGCTCCCTCCCTCGGGCCTCCTCGGGCCCTTTCCCCACTGGAGACCCTCCCCTGTGACAATCCACCAGCCCCTCTCCCCGCCCCTCCCCCTCCCCTCTTTGGCTTTAATCATGCTAATGTTGGAGGGGGTGAATAAATAAAGTGAATCTTTGCACCTGTGATTTCTCTCTCCTTCCTCATTTCAGGTTCTTATACATTGTTTTTCTAATTACCTAGTTCATCTTCTAAGGAACCAAACCCTGAGTTGCTAAAAAGTACACCATCAGTTATAAAAATCCTCCTCCTCCGTTCTCCCCTGCCCTGCTGTCCTCTACAAGGAACCCACAGGGCACCTACCTCCGCCCCCCTCTCCCGGGCCATGGTGCAAGCAGCTTCGCTTCTTTGACTTCCCCCCTCAGCCAGCCCTCAGAGTCCTTTGAAGGGTGACAGTTCTTACGGTCACATATTCTTTGATCCAGTTGAACCCAGTTACCCCAAAGCAAATCTTTCAAAAGAAGGGAACAGCTAAGAAAGAGAGTCATTCATTGCAACACTGTGTAAAAGAGCAGAACAGTGACAGCAGCCGTGAACAAGCAGCCAGGACATGTTCGGGGCCAGTACAGCGCTCCAACTTAAGGGACTCTATCATGTCTTCATTCCATCTTAAACACAATACGTACGTAGTGAGGGCCTCCTATTTGCCAAGGACCACACTGAGTTCTTTTCACAACCTAATTTAATTCTCACTGCACTGCCCGGTTAAAAACGTTCATTGAAGTGCTGGTCAGGGGCTGCAAAGCTGAGAGATGTTCACACTGTATAACTCAGCAATCCTACTCCTGAACGGCCGTGTCCCTGTCCATCAAAAAAACTTACGCAAGAATTTTCAGAGCAGCTTCATTTATAAAAGCCAAAAACTAGAAGCCATCCAAGTGTCCACCAACAGCAGGATGGATCATTACACTGTAGCACATTTGCACGTTGGACTACTGTTCCATCAGAAGAACCTATAAACCACAGCGCTACCCAAGAGCACAGATGAATGGCATCAACATGACAAAAAGCAAAAGGAACCGAGCACGAAAGATCTCTCTGATTATTTTCATCCATATGAAGCTCAAAACCGGGAAATATACGATTAGAAACTGGGATAGAAATTATTTTTGGCTGGGGTTGGGGTGAGGTGGTGCCTAGCGCACTTCTGAGGTTCTGGTTATGTAATGAGTGCACCACTTTGAGAAAATTCATTGAGCTGCCCAATTATGCTCAGTACGCTTTCTTGTTTGCGTTTTCTATTTCAAGATAAGCTCACATAAAGAAATATCCTCCACCCAATTTACAGATCAGAGAGGCTAAGAGGAGGCCAAGGCCACACAGCTGGTAAGTGGTGGGCCCAGGATCAAACCCCGACCTGCTTAAGTCTGCTTTTTTGACACCTACACAATTCTGTCTTCTAGTGCTTACAATGCTACACAGAACAGAGGGTCAAACATGCTACCTTCCCAGAGACTCCTCCTCCCTCTGGCTAACCAGGGGCATACACACGGAGAAATGGAGAAATGGAATTGACCAGGCCTTCAACAAGGGGCAAAGGATGAAATTAACCCGGTCCGGGCATTGGGACCCATGCATGAAAGGTTATGTGTCTGGGAAGCAGGGTTGGGGAGGGCACATATAAAACCAGCCTTGACTCTCTTCCCCCTACTTCCGCTCAGGCACCCCGGCCCCTCCCTCTCACTTACTCATCCCTCCAACAAATATTTACTGAGCACCCTTCTCAGCCTGCACCCTGAAAGGGGTACAGAAGTAACAAAGATGGTGCCCTTTCCTTCAATAAATTTATAATCCAGTTTTTCTTCTCTTTCTTCCTTTCCCTTGTCAGTACTGGAGCAAGACGGAAAGGACAGTCACAGAAAAAAAAAAAGGATTGGGAGACAACACATGAGACCCCTTGAGAATATTCATTATTACCAAATCTTTGAAATTTTGGAGGTCTGAGTAGAGGTCAGAAAAACTCAGTAATGTCTCTTCAAATGACATAAACTTTCTCACCCGTCTCTGGGGGCAAAACCCAACAATGCATGGAACCTCTGATCCGACGCGAGGCTCTTCTCATAAAGCAAAACTCTGAAGTCATTCCCACCATGACCCAAGGAAGTGAAGACAGGTGTTAGGGGTCGAATTGTGTCCCTCGAAAAGATACATTCAAATTCCAACTCCTATTCCCCACAAATGTGACCTCACCTGGGAATAGGGTCCTTGCGGATGTAATCAAGTTCAAGTGAGATCACTGAAGCTTTGGGGAAGGTGCAGTGAACCTCAATTATCTACACATCACCGGCGGAAATGTAAAGAAGGACAGCCACTCTGGAAAAGAGTTTGTTGGTGTCTTGACAAACTAAACAAAATACACCAGCTGTTGAATTCCAGGGCATTCATCCCCAAGAAATGAACAATGATGTTCACGCAAAAACCTGTACGTAATTATTCATAACAGCTTTGTATTATGTAATAACTAAGAACTGGAAACAACCAACATGCCCCCCAGTAGGTGACTCAAAATGTGACTCTGAAGGTCCCCCCACACGTCCCTCAGAGGGCTGAACAACTTGTGATACACCCATGTCGTGGATACCACGCAGCAATACAAAGAAACAAAGGATCGGTCCATGTAACAACGTGGATGAGTCTGAAGTGCTCTCTGCTGAGTGAAAAAAGCCAGTGTCAACCGCTTTTGATTTGATCATAGCATGTGACTCTTTTTACAGACCATTCTTGAAATGGGAAAATTACAGCAATAGAGAGCAGATTACTGGCTTGCCTGGGGTGAGGGATGGTGGGAGAAAGAAGAATGAATGTGACTATAAAGGGAGAGCTTTTTTTTTTAAATTTTATTGAGTTAATAGTCAGTTTACAATGTTGCGTCAATTTCCAGTGTCGAGCACAGTGCTTCAGTCATACATGAACGTACAGGGAGATCTTGGTGGTACAGGAATAATCCTGCTTCTGGACTGCGGTGGTGGTTACATACAACTAGACGTGTCATAAAGTAACATAAAGTGATACCCACACATCGTACCAATGTCACATTGCTGGGTTTGATACTGCGCTGAAATTCTGTAAGAAGTAACCATCACGGGGAAAGAGTAAAGAGCACACCAGACTGCTCTGCTTTATCTTTGCAACTTCCTGTTAATCTATCATTTTTTTTCAAAGTAAAAAGTTAAAAAAAAAAAAAGATGAGTCATTTTGGATTAGGGTGAGCACTCAATCCAATGCCTGGTGTCCTTCTATGGAAGGGAAGATTAGAGATGCAGGGACACACAGGGAGAACGCCATGTGCCGATGAAGGCGGAGATGGAGTAAGTGATGTGGCTACAAGCTAACTCACAAGAGGATACCCGGGGAGCCACCACAGCTAGGAAGGGGGCACGGGGTGATTTCTGCCTCAGAGCCTCACGGAGGAGCCGCCTTGATTTGAGGCTTCTGGCCTCCAGAACTGAGAGAGAATAAATTTCTGCTGTTTGAACACACCCAGTCTGTGCTACTTCCTTATGGCAGCCCGAGCAAAGAGGTGTAATGAGGACGACAGAGAGAAGAGTCTGGTTCTCAACAAACTTCCGTCCGTGGTGACAAGTCAGCCTCGGCAAGCCACGAGGGCTCTTACACTCTGATGTCATCCCCTATACCCCATTCTGTGTGCAGAACCTAATTCCAGATGGGTCAAAATTGAACTCCTGGTCTTTTCTCCCAGACCCACACCTTCTGCGGGCTTCCTCATTTCATTAAAGCAACTCTATTTCTAATTCCTCAGGCAGAAAGCCCTCGGTGCATCTTTGACTCCTCTGCCTTTTTCCACATCCACACTGTCAGCGTGGCCCTGTTAATCTTGCTTTCAAAGCAGCCCCATCTGATGATTCTTGGATTATTCTAGTAGGCTCCTAACTATGGCCCCTACTGCCACACCTGCCCCTGTCCTGCTCCTGACAGTTCATTCTCATCAGAGACCCAGGGAAATTCCGTTCTATAGAAGTCAGGTGAAATTATTCTTCTGCTAAAAACAAGGAGCGTGTACTTGCCCCATAAAACAAAAGCGTCAGATGGGACAATGGTTTAGGGAAATGGGGGAGTTACTGTCTGTGGACCCGTGGTACCTTCTATGGGCAGATGAAGAGGCCTGGCATGCACTTGAGCTCCCTGGGGTCTGGGGCTTCAAGAAAGAACAGAGAGATTTGTCAGGTTGGGGGATGTAATTAAAGAGTTGGGTCTTGGAATTGTCAGTGCTTGTACTAGGCACAGTGTAAAAACACAAACAAACATCTATCTCCACTTCCTCTTTCATTTTGTATCCTCCATCTATTAGTCATTGCTGCTTCTTCCTCCTACTCCATCTCCCTTTCACTCCCCAATTTCTCTCCATCTTCCAAGTCCTGATTTTTTTTTGTTATTATTCTTTCTAGACTCATCCTCTCTTCTCCCTTTCCCTGTTCTCCAAAATGAAAGAAATGTTCACCTGGCAGCTTGCTTAGGGGTTTACAGGAATGCGTTAGCACCAGATCTAAGATACCTGGTTAATTCTGAAAAATTCTTCTTTTCAGAAAAAAAAATTAATAGAAAATAAACAAATAAATGTAGTGCCATCATCATGCAGATGCTGTTAAAAGCCATCCATCAGACTGCGACAGACTGTGAGAGGGTTCCTAACCGGTGAGCAGGGTTAGAACAACCCACGCACTGAGCTGGGAGGCCCTCCAACATTAAGGGGTTGGTGAGATGAGGAGGAATTGGGAAAGAATGAAAAGGACTGGTCAGAGAAGAAGGGAAATCAGGAGAGAGGTGTTGTCCTGGAATCCAGGAGAAGAAATGCACCGAGGAGGAAAAACTGATCGCTGTTAACTGTGCCAACTGGAATGAAAATGGCCCATTGATTGAGTGATGCTGGGGTCATGTGAATAAATAAGAGCAGTTTCTCTAGAATGGAGGGGGCAAAGGTGTGATTGGAATGGGTTCAAAAGAAAATGGGAGGGAAAAAATTGGAGACATTGTACCTGGATAATTCTTTCGAGGAAAGAGTTGGGAAAGGGAGGGAGAGAAATGAGACAGCATGTGGAAGGAGAGGAGAAATGACAGCATTTTTTAATGTGCAGGGGAGCAAACTTGCTACCCCAAAATGTCTTTTTGG